TCTTAAACACTTTGATTGAGACCTTCGTGTATTTGTAGTCGATCCGTGTCCAGAGCCGGACAAAGAAGGTCTGTATCAGCTGAAGACATGTTGGTCTTAAAGTAACTCAAATCTAATCAGGAATTCCGGTAACCATGGGCTGCAAAAGGTGATGAAGGACTGAATTCTGCATTTTTCCACAATGTTATGTGTGGGTCCCATGTTTCAAATAGGTTTCACAGAACCTTGCCTCCCATAGGGACTCGAACCCATCGTATAATTGTGAAATGTGACCTTTGGAAAGAGAGGCTATGCGAAATTTAATAACATCATGTGGGAACATTTGAATATCAGTCTTTCAGCTCCTCATGCCATCTAGGGTGACTAGATCCCTTGCCCACGAATTACCCGTAGTCTCAAATACCTATTCCTATGAATACCAATCGATTTACCTTTATTTGTAAGGGTCGCTACCTTATATTGCAGCACGTTAGCTGGGTAGGATTGCTGGTTCGATGTAAGTATGTTTCGCAACTGTAAGCCTCTGTCACCCACACAAGTGTGGGATGGTAAAGGATTGCAGCTATGAAGGAGAGCTTAGCCCGAATCCCGTCAAGTGTGCTGATGAGAGCCTAACTTGGTCGAAGTTGTAGCCCATCCAGACGAAGAACGGCGCTTTGGAGGTAGGACTAAATGGAGTTCCCTAGAATCCTGAAACTTAATCATATCATTGTGAGGAAAAATATCCACTGTTAGTCTCTAAATTAGAGGACTAAGCCTAGTTATTATTTCGTCCGAATTATCATGACTACTAAGGCAGGAGACTCCGGGGAAGGGCTCTTGGTCGCCTTGACAAAGTGACCACTTCTATACAGCGACCAAAATGGAGGCAGAACTATCTTTGTCTTCAACGCTTCGATTAAGATAGGATAACTGACTTTCTTTACTCCTTATTTTTCACAGACGCCTGCATCTACTTTTTGTGGGCTTTGGTGACGAGGATTGGTGGTAGCAAAAAATCTTTCCGTAACTTATGTCCATCCTCTTGCTTAGGCCGTATTTGGATCCGAGTTCATCTCCTTCGTAGATGATATAGCATAGAACGTCATGGTATACTTGGGATCGGAAAATTAAGGTACTGTTTTGCATAATATATCATATCATAATGTTATAGGAATAGAGAAATGAACGGCCTATGCTATAATGACGCATCTGCCCTGCTATATAGTGATTTAAAAGAGGGAGACTTTGCAGAAGATATCCCATACTGCGTCCTCCTCCATATTTGGCATGACTTTTTATAGTATCACAACGTTAACTCGGTACATTCACAGACGTAGCGCTGACATCATCAGTGAGCAGTGCCATGATTGGCGCTATATTCAATCGTGTAAAAATGTTTTGTAAAGTGAACAAACGAAGGATGACATGTGGTAATGAGGAACTCATCTTCATTTGTCACTTGGACTAATTGCAAATCAGTGTAAATAATGAGCTAGCGAAACATCTGGGAGTATATCCAGTCGGGAAGACATCATGGTCAGAACCTGTAAAGGATAGCTTTTTCAAGGTTTTCTTTAAAACCCGATTAAACTGTGAAATCAAAGTCTAATAGAACCAATCAGGGTAGTCCTGTTTTAACTCAAGCTTTGTTATTATAACGTTCTGACTAATTAATGATATATGAATAGTCTTAATAATAAAAGGAATCCCTTCACCATCCTGGATATTTTGAGATAGTGTATGCATGAATAAACTAGCATTGAAATTAGTGGTAGTCTCCCCCCAAAATTTACTCATCAGTCAAAACATGTCTCTGATGACATCTGCTATTCGCCTGAGCCACTAAAAGCTTGTCTCCTCTTCACAGCCTCGGTAAGCTGTTATATTTGCGCTTTCCCCTTATCTGTCTCGGACGTACATTCTTTGCCGGCTCTTTGGAAGGAATTTCGGAGCTTTTAGAACCATATTTTCAAGGCCTAAGCCGACTAAATCAAGTTTTTTCTATTGCTCCGCATCAGATCATCTTAGAAGTGTAGGCAAGTCTTCCGATCTTCCTTTTCTGATATTCGACGCAGAGATAATCTTGTCACATATCAACATTCATGTGGACAGTTTTGTCGGATAAAGAAGCCAAAAGACGAGCCTACTAGTTGACTTTTTCGCTAATTTTAGTCTCCTCTTCACTTTTGGCTGGTCTAATTGTAATTGCTCAACTGTCATTTGTATGTCCTGCCAGGTTTAAGAGCTTATGGAAACGCCTTTTTCACCACTTAAAGTTGCCAGTAAACTGGGTAAAAGCTTAACTTAGTGCAGTTATAGCATGACAGAGATAAAGCAGGTTGTCTCTTTGTGTCAGTGGCTCCACTACATATGTGCACAGAGAAGCTGGTGAGAGGGAGAGAGAGACAGAGGACAAAGGAAAGAGAGCTAGAAGATCAGGTATATAGACAGGTTGGTAGATAGTTGTATAGACATCCATTTGTACTCAAGCTTAGCCTTCTGGAAACGAGGTCATCGTTGAGTAAAGGACTTTCGGTCATTAGACAGAATCACCCTCTTGCCCGCAACTCCACAGTCATACCGAGGGCCCCTAACGAGGGAAGAATGGCCTGAAGCAATTGTGGATCCCTAAGAATCAGGCCAACTATGAGATTGCTTTTGCTGGAATACTAAGCAAAACAAAGGTTTGCAGATGCAAAGAGTAATTGGGTTGTGAAGACTCTCCTGATATTCTTTCACACGAAAGTGTGTGATGAAGCGATTCGTTGGGTGAGCTGACCGGAAGACGACCGCAGATTCATGTTTTTCTGCAGTCGTTTCGCTTTTCTATGACATTTAAGTTGGCGAAGTCCACGAGATATTTTTCCTCGTTTCAGGAGAAATGAGTTCAACTCTCCTCCAGCATTTGGTGGACAGCATCAAAGCTGGAACTAATCGTTGCAAAAGTCTCAAGTCAACAACAGGTCAAGAAGCCTGTCCGTCTTTATCCTACCTCTTATATATACTCATAACTGAGAACGAAAATGTATAAACATAGAAGGATATAAAAGGATTTGTCCAAACTTTTTTTCGCATTTTAAGTATGAGAATGTATATAAGAAGCAAAATAGAGCCGGCCAGTCTTCTTGATTCAATGTTAACCGGATACTCATACATGAATGAGTTCCAGCACTGATGATGTCCATCATGTGATGAACAAAAGCTCAGCCCGTTTTCACCTGAAACGAAATACTCCCTTGCCCCTAAGAATACTTAGTTAGACAAAAAGTCTGTTGTGCGCCTCAGAGGAATGGGCATTTATGCTCGTTACTGGAGAAGCGAGTTTCATACAGTAGCCACATTCACATACCCTCACACAGTCACTGCAACATTTAGCGAACACTGCACCATGTAGGTGGACGGGGTGGTACGATTCTTAAATTTGGATATGGTCGTGCATCAGCATGTATACATGCATGGGTGAGGGTGTGTATGGTAGAAGATCTTTCCCGGTCTCGGTTTGGATTCACTGGTCCCAGACTACATCGCCTTAAGACGACGGTGGATTCCTCTTGACCAACTGTCGATTGGCTCTACTGAAACATTCTTGTTGATGCTGTTTCAGAGGCGGTCATCTTCGATTCAGGTGAAAACATCGTATGATGAACATAATTAAAGCAAGATATAATCCTTACAACCAAATGCAAGCGAACGAGACAAGAAAACTTGACGACGAACAAAATCTTAGCATATTTTCATCGGAATCGAAGGAGCTTACCTCGGAAATAGCGTCAACATGAATGTTCCAGAAAGGCCAATCGACAATTGGCCAAAAAGAAATCCACCATCATCTCTTCACCCGACACTTACACTCGAAATGGAAGTAGGCTCAACAATTACGAAACAAAAGGGTCCTCGAAACCCAAATTTTCTTCACATATGCGACTAATGAGTTGACATATTCTCCACCTAACAGTGCATCATAAAATCCCATCGTTGGGAGGGATGCAGTGTCTTAAAACTGGAAGCCTGAGTAATCTCGATATCGCTGTGGTGACTCGAGAAAATGATGTTAGAACAAACAATATTTACGGAAAGGACTATGCAATATTCTACTCATAAGTACTAAATCCAGCAGAGACGAGGCATGAGCTCACCAATGCTGCTGGCCGAATCCCATCCTAAATGTAGTCGCAACGAGACTAAAGGAAATAAAAGT